ACAAGAAAAAGTCGCAGGGAGTTAGATCGGGTGAATACGGGGGATTTGGCAGCAATTGATAACGCAATTCATGCAGTTTGGCCGCATCCGCTTGTTGTCCACCGTGAGCAATCGCGGCACCCATCGGGCCGACAATTTTTTCATCGCCAACTTATCATGTAAAATATTAATTGCCGTTCCGGTCGACACACCTACGGCCTTTGCTACTTCGCGCACTTTCGTTTGTCGATCAGCGAGAATCATGTCGTGGACTTTTTGAATGTTTTCCTCGGTAACCACGTCTGCCGGGCGTCCTGGTCGCTCCTCATCAAAAACGGATGTTCGCCTACGTTTAAATTCGTTGAACCAATATCTAACTGTGGTCATAGATGGCGAAGTGTCCCCATAAACAGCATCCAACTTTGCTTTTATCTCCTCGCATTTTTTCCCATCCAAAATCAAAAAGCGAATTACCGAACGATACTGCTCTTTTTCCATCTTAACAAAAATCACGAAACACGTTTTACTCGAATGGCTGCCAAATCCAAACTAATCTATCAATCAGTCTGCAATTTGTTTTGCCGTCGTTTGATAGATGACAGCACACCATGATAACACCAACTTCCCTCAGGAACGCCCTCTGTCGTCTAACTCGGGTACTTATTGAACCGCCCTCGTAGTATGAAGAAGTCATCGCGGAAACCGAGGCGTATTTCGAAGGCTTGGACATTTCGTACTACAGAAAGGGCACAGAAATGTTGGAAAATCGCTATACCAATTGTATCGCACTCGAAGACAACTATGTTGAGGAATAAATATAACTTTGCCCAAAAAATGCTTGTTTTCATTAAAAAACCCGAGACTTTTCAGCCCATGTAATAGTGCCGAACGACGATATATCGTCGTTTGCAACACTTGCAAAAAGTGCCAACGACGATATATCGTCGCGTATCCGAGGGCGTTTTACTATTTGCATTGCAAGAAAGCTCTATCTCAAAATAAATTTATAAAACGTTATAAACGGTCTAATTCATTGCAAAAGAATTAAAAAAATTTCATTGCAAAAAAATTAAAAAAATTGTTTTTGGGTTTAACTTTTTGTTATATTCTATGCTGGTTGGTGCCGAGGCTCTGTATACGCTGGAGCGATAAGGTAGAAACTCGACATGGGACAGTTTCGTTCTCAGGTCCGATATTAGTTATTTTATTAAAAATGATTGAAAATGTAATACTTATACTTCGTACTATGTGATCTACATAAAACTGTGATCAAACGATGATTATTTTTATGTGCAAATATTGTTTATAGAAGAGAAACTTGTCTCTATGTTTTTCATCATGTTTTATATTGATGTTATTCCTATGATTTTCGACAAATATTGAAATACAATTGGCATTACTTTATTTTTTCTTTATTTAATAATATGCTGCTTTTTGAATTTTGTAAATATCATTTTTAGTTTGTATTTTATGAGCTTCTTCCCAAACCTTAGCAAATTCGTCAAATTGGCTCGATATTTTTCGCATAGGTACGATATTTTTGCTAGGCACTAAAAGGGTTAATGAATTCCAAGTATTATTGTTGTTTGTTAAGATGTCATAATTATTTGATCTCGTCTCGACGTTGTGATGTTCTGTGATAATACTATCGTCATCGTCACTGCTTTCGTTGAATTCCATTTGAGGAAAAAAGGTGGAGTTAATCAAGATCGACAGCACTCTATATATCTCGGTTTTTTGAACTCAAATCACACAGATGGCTCCAAACGATGAACGGAATTGATGGTGATGCAAATCGACGCGCGGAGTTGAGACATCAATTAAATCAACGACAAGAACGATTGAATAGACAAGAAGTTATTTCTGAACTTCCGTATGACATGAGATACAGCGGAAATTTCAATCGCAATATCAATACGGAGCCAAAAATTTACGGAAATCCCAACGATATTGGAGAAACCAGCGGCGGCCATGTAATGATTTTGTCGCGCGATAACGGTACCACCGTCGTCCGTGACAGCGAGACCGCTGTGGTTGTCACCTTCGTCGTCACCGTCGTTCGATGACAACCATACCGAGTTTTGGGCCATTATTCGAACGACGCAAAACGTCGGGCGTATGATGAATAATACCAATACTTGCACATTTCGAAACGACGACGCGGCGACGTGCATTCATTTGAACCATGAACATAATGTATAATATATGTATGCGTATTTATTAGGATTTTACAAAAGTTCTGTAAGTTTATGTTAATCACAACTGTCAATCACAAATTTGAGACCAAGACCACCAAAGACTAATAGAAAATCAATTTAAATGAGCGGGATTGCCGAAAGAACGAGATTAAAATGGGAATATTTGGGTTCGGATCACTGCGGGACAAATTTGCCGACGTGGTGATAGATCCGGTGTTTTCGGTCATAGATCCGATAGTCGACTGTCCTGTTCGTACGTGGCGTGCATTAAGGTTACTTCAATTGTTGTTCGGACTGTGCGAAACTGTACCAACGAAAATGAATTTGCGCGCGTGTTTTGTTGCAATCTCGCGGCTACGAAAACGGTGCGTTTTCTTCGAAGGAATCCGACGCTGGCTCTCTGTTACACTTTGGACAACCGATCACTTCGCGGCAAACTCATATACAACGGATGATGGACGCGCGGTCGGCCATACACCGATTGATGAGTTTGTGCAACGGGGAAGATGGTCGTAACGTAGAGTCGGTAGTAACGATCAATAACAGACGTGCATGAAGATATCGCAAGTGGTCCATTTTGTTCGTCGAGTCATTATTTCGAGAGAATTCGCTCTCGTCAAGCACAATGCCGACTGTACCTGTTGCGAAGACGAATCATCGCGTGAATCGTATCCGCTGGTGCGTGTAATCCGTTGCGGCGGTGGCGGCAACGATGATTCGCGAAGAATGATAAACACCATGGGTGTCGTGAAGTTCGATTACAACGAGGGCGAAGAGCAGATAAAAGCGTTGAACTGGTTCAGCGAATTCATAACGTGGGTCGTTTGGCAATGGCGCAAGATAACGATGTATTCGTATATGTTCTCTCGAAACAATCCTCGTCGCGAGATCGTCGTTATTTGGTCTACCACTAGAACAACGACAGCGTCGATGCTGGGTGTTTTTATTGTGGTTGTCTGTATGCTTCGGCAATGATTTCGCCCACGGTCTGTTGGGTCGTTTCGTAGAATACGTGAACAGATGTTACTCTTTGTTGGAAAAAGCGTTCCACAGGTACGACACACCGCTGCCGCTGTCGAATATTCTGGATGACGAGGAAGATACAAATTCGATATCTGAGGCGTTCGTTCAATTGCAACAAGTGCTCAAATTCGACGCTGTCGGCGATCGCGATGAAGTCACGCAACGCGCGGCGACAATAGCAGCGGCCGACGGTGGTGACGCCACGGTGGAACGATTACGTCGCACTAGCGAACGCTTGTGGTTCTTATGTCACGTGTGAAGCTTTTTCTACGCTTTGGAACTACCGGAGAAATTCAGCGGCGATCAAAGATTCACCCATTGTCGCGCGCTGTGCATCAACGAATATTTCGTCGTAAGCCGTTTCTAACTCTGGAAGCGTTTCTGCGCATTCCAGAGATTCGCATTCCCGAACACATAAGCGAGATATTACGCCGTGGAATAGATTCGAGATTGTTCATTGACTCCGTCATGCGATCGGCGCTCGTACCGTACATCTTTAGACCACGCTATTTATTTACACTCTTGTTGTTTATGCGCGGCTATTGCTTATGATAGCGCTGCATCAAGCTTGTCTGCGCTTGGATTCGGTGAGATTGCATGACGATCGAGTCTTTTACCCCAGGTTGGAGAGCACAATATGGTCGCGGCCGACCATTTCTTCGTTGGCTCAATGAATACGATTGACGAATGGTGGGGAGCAAATGGCGACGGCAACAAAGATATATGGCGGGACTCTCGCAAAGATATGGATGACAGTGACGACGACGGTGAATCGAGAGAGAGAGGTTTGGCCGACAGAAACAGAAATGTTCGATTCGATGTTTTCTCAGGAACCATCGTTTCGCGACTGCTGTGATGACTGGGAACGACGACGCGGCGGCGGCGGTGGCTGTGCAGCCACGCAACTGTTTTCAGGAAGACGATTTGTTAATTTGAATTCAACGTTTATCCGACGTTGAAATAAAGCATTTGTACGAATTATTAGTATCGTACGATCGGCATCGACAACGCGACGAAGAACCCATTGATGATGCTTCGCGGCAAAGAAGAAGGAGGAGGAATGTGATTTGAAGGCGACGAATGTGCCGATGAAAAAGCCGTGATTCGCGCCGGTACGTATCTCGGTGACGTCGCGGCTCGCGAACGAAACTTAGAATCTAGAACGACTGCTACGATCGCTATGACCGCCGTTTCTTACGCCGTGGACCACGCGTTGCCTACGTGGAATTCTGTGAGCGTTCGCGTTATCATCAGCGAATAGCGCGAGCAGCGAAGATTGTCTGCGACGCGACGTGCTCACTCTCGGTAGAGCAATACACGACGCGTTGCAAATTTGGATCAGTGCGAACTTGCACGATGTCGAGCGCCGGGTTACTCGAGCCGTGATAACGGAGACCGTCGGAGACTTACTGCGCTTGCGTGCGTTGCGACAATCCGAACGAAACTATCGAACGTTTGGTCTATTCGTGTGTGACGTTCGATTAACATCAAACATTCGCCGCGCGAATACAACGATCACTGTCATCGTCAGCGCGAGGGTGGCGGCGGTGCTTCGTCGGATGAAAGTATTTTTTGCACGATGACTCCCTTCATTTTGGATTTCGCGACGGCCGGCGCGCGTCGAGCTATGGGTAAAAATTCGTTCTACCTGTTTTTCCTATCTTTTCGTTTTTTCCGAAACAGCGTGTTGTAAGTATAACGATGAAACATGTCGATGGCCATAAACAAAGCACAACCTCAAATTACGAAACGTCACTTTGCGCAACTCTTCATTCTGGTGAATGAAATACCGAAATCAAAATGGTCAACGTCCACACCCAAGTGACGCTGACACATCAAGACTACCCACCTTTGGTTGAGACATTGGAAGAGGATAAAATGGACGTGAAACCGAGGCGACGGGCGACTCTAGGCTCTCAGCTCTCGGGGACTGACACGCTGTCGGTCATACTAGAAATATTATATCAGGCGGAAAACATAATAAAGACAAGTTCATTTTTAAAAGAGAGATAATTTATTGTTATTAAGTATCACCATCGCCTTCCGATCTACCACGCTGTGACGGGCACCCTCACACTACTCGTGTCGACCCGACGTCACGCAACAAGCGTAAAAAAAAAGAGAAAGTTCCGATTGTTCTGTTTGACTGAAAAATACGGAAAGCTTTTTTTCTTCGGTTTAGTGTCGTGCACAATAGAGAGTGACCTTGCATCTCATTGGTCAAGAAATTAAGTTACGACCTATCACAGCCCAAAAGTTCATCCTTACCAATTTTATTCTAGTCTATACCAGGTGTAGAAGTATGAAACCGGAATTTCCCTATAGATGGTGCTAGCCATCAGTTTAGGGACCGTAAGACCGCTTCTGCAGCGCCATCATCTCCCTCTAACAGCTGACGAAGATTTTCAACACACAACAACCCAAGTTCCATACACCGGTATATTTTTCTATAACTTTAAACATGTCGAGTTTTGTGCCTACAAGCTACGATTTGCGGACAGCATTCGTTTCTTGTTATCATTTGAAGAAAACTGCTGCAGAATCGCATCGAATGCTTGTGGAAGCTTGAACATGCTTTTGGTAAAACACAGTGTTTCGAGTGGTTCAAAAAATCCAAAAGTGGTGATTTTGAAGTGAGAAACGAAGAGCGTGGGAAACCACCGAAAAAGTTCGCAGACAACGAATTGCAAGCCTTATTGGATGAAGATGATACTCAAACTCAACAAGAACTCGCAGATGAATTGAATGTGACCCAGAAAGCTGTCTCAATTTGTTTGAAAGCCATGGGAAAGATTCAGAAAATGGGAAAATGGGTTCCGCATGAACTGAATGAAAGACAGCAAGAAAATCGAAAAACCACTTGTGAAATGCTGCTCGACAGATACAAAAGAAAGTCCATCGTATCATGACAGGTGATAAAAAATGGATATATTTTGAGAATCCTAAGCGTCAGAAATCATGAGTGAATCCAGGCGAACCATCGACATCCACTGTAATCGCTTTGGAAAGAAAACAATGCTCTGTGTTTGGTGGGATCAGAAGGGTGTAATCTATTATGAGCTGCTAAAATCTGGTGAAACCGTTAACACTGATCGCTACCAACAGCAAATGATCGATTTAAATCGAGCATTATGTAAAAAACGACCGTAATATGGAAAAAGGCAACACAAAGTCATTTTGCTCCATGATACTGCCCCATCACACACAGCAAAACGGGTCAGGGAAACGATCGAGGCCTTCAGTTGGGAAATACTAACGCGTGCGGCTTATTCTCTAGACTTGGCTCCGTCCGATTATCATCTATTCGCATCAATGGGATACGCTCTCGCTGAACAACGCTTCAATTCGTATGAAAATGTACTAAAATGGCTCGATAGCTGGTTCGCTTCAAAAGAAGAAATTTTTTTAGCGTGGCATTCATAAACTGCCGGAGAGGTGGGAAAAATGTATAAATAGCAATGGACATTATCTTGAATAAAATATTTTTTATTATTTTCAAACAACAAACGTGTAATTTTTACAAAAAAATTCCGGTTTCATACTCCTACACTTGGTATAAGGGTCTTGCGACGAAAACAGGAGAGTTCCAGGTCGTTAAGTGCGAAACACCAGTTCGAAACAGTACGTCGAAGATGTCCGCAATCAATAATCTCCCAAATTTCAACGAGCGTGCGCAGATAAAAGTATTAATTCTCGACGATGCATACGTTGGAAAGATATCCATTGCAAGGAAATTCATGTGGGATACGTGCAAAAATGAGCCTGTAAGCGAAGGAATTAATTTTATGCGCAGGTCTATACACATCAACAATAAGTTGTACAAATTGAACCTGTTTGACACCGTCGCCGTTGAGGAATTTGTAGTATCACCGTCCGAGTATCAGGACAGCGATATATGTTTTCTAACGCAATAGATGATCGGAACAGTTTCCAAAACTTGGAGTACTGGATACGCAAATTTAAGAAAAAAGCGGACATTACAAATGCTGATACGTTCCCCTTTATCGTCGTTGGCAACAAGCAGGACATCTCCGAGAGCGACAGATTAATTTCAAGAAAAGAAACAGATGATTGGTGCCGGGAAAATAATCTTTGGCACTTGGAAACATCGACCAAAGAGAACAAACATCGACCGAATATTTGCGGTAGGGATGGCCATGTACGAGCGTCGACCAGCTGAATCAAGACAGTCAAATGAAACTCCCAGTTGCATCATTAGGAATGCTGATGTTCACTTGAGAATAATGTAATGGGGTTCGCATCTCAAAAACTATGGCGAAGAGATGGATAGGCGAAGAGGAAAATCCTTAAATGGAACACTTTTCAGAGCCATTATTTGTCTGTGAAATAAATTAAAATTTTTTGTGAAATAAATCAAACAAATTGTTTATCAAACAGGTAAATTATGTGTGTTCGACTTCCACTTTTATTCCTTCTCTTCCCCTTCTTCAACGTTTAATTTTACCTCTCCAATATTACTATATTTTCACGTCTTATACACCTTCACCTTTCTCATAAATTATCTGCAATCTGAATTTGGAAATATAGCTGTAGGGTTGCATTGTCAGGCTTCGCGCTCGCGTTTATTTATGGAAATTTCGTGTTGCGTGAAACGCTAAGAACGATCTAATATATCGAAGTGCTAATTTACGGCAAAGTCCGAAGTAACGTTCAAAACTGAAAATCTTTTAAGAATATCATAATATTCTTGCTTATACATGAGAATATCTATCATTGATTTAAACCAGTTTCTTTCCCGTATGTGTTATATTGTGCAGAATTAAAGGTTTAATATGGAATCTAAATTTCGTTTCGGGATGATACTTCGGTAGCTCCGGGAACCGTGGAGAAGCGAGACGAGACTCTTTTACAATGAGAAACGCGTCGTGCTGGAAGAACGCCAGTGAAACGCGACTCTCGCACCGTTCGTATCCCAGCGGAGGACGCTTCCGCTGCCGAGTTGTCGAAACGCGCTTCCTTTTCCCGGGGAAAATCGGCGGTCGTTATGGTTAGCGACGCGCGCGCGGAACTGGGAAAAATACCCGCCGTTGAAATATCGCGGCAAGACAACGAGAGTCACTATCCAGAACGGTTTCCGACAACTCACCGTCAAGCGATAAAAGCGGTCCGGGCGCTAATCTTGTCCGCCGGAACGAAATCCAATTGAGAGTCTCGCAATTTTCGAAAATATGAAAATGTCGAATGGGTAATGAAATCTCGCGAGCGCGTGCACCATATTTTGCCGTTCGGCAATCCGATTAAAAAGGACATTCCATTTTCTGTGGCTGCAATTTTTTTCCGCCGACGCGGAATTCCATTCGAAATCTCATTTTCCGAAAAAACGCTCCCCCGTCTATTTACGTCGTGTCGATCCGCGGAGCGACGACGGACGGTGCGATTTTGAGTGTGTAACGATGCGTTTCCCCCATGCAGACACCACGGCCGACCGACCATCCGTCGGCCGTCAAACGGCGCATTGCGCCACATAAACTTCGCACGCGCAAAGCACGCGACCGACACGTGCTCACGGAGACAACAACGTTTATTGTTGTTGTCAAGCATGTGTCGGAAAAACGGCGTTGTCGCGGCATAAAAGACCGCTCCGCCGTGACATCGGGACCAGACTCCGCCGGAGTCAGCCGAGATCGGAAGATCAGAAGCTGCTCCGGATCCCATCCCCA